TATATATATATATATATATATATATATATATATATATATATATATATATATATAGCTTGTCGACAAGTGAGGTAATATCAAGCTGTTTATCAATAATAGAAAAGGATAATCTGCCTATAATAACAATGGCTACACGTAAAAATTGAGACTTCCTAATCTTCTAATGTTAGAACAAAAACAAATTTGTCAATTTATTGATTTGAAACTCGATTTGGAAAATGTGTATTCATTTTTAGACTACATTGGAAAGATTATTATCTGTGTATCAAAAGCTAGAAGTATAGTTTCTCGTTACTTTTTGCAATTTAAGCTAATTATTTTTGAAGTATGATAAAACTAGGCTTTCAGCTTCACTTCCCTCCTCCTAAACAAAAACGTCAAAAATGCGTAAAAGGTAAGAAGACATTAATTTTTCACAGCTTTACCATATCATTTATTATGCGTAAACAAACCTGCAAACAATCGGAATTTGGATAATTAAGGATCAAGCAACAGAAAAAGAAGAGAAGGATTATGAGAAAGCAGAAGAACAGAAAACAAGGAGGAATATCTTCGATGAGTCAGAATGACCATAAAATTCAAAGTGCAAAATTTGAAACGGTAAGCAGAAAGGAAAATCTAACAAAAAAAAGCGAAGAAAAAGAAATAAATTATCCAATTCCACTGCAAAAATCAATAGAATCAGAAAAATCTGCCTAGCTCAGACATATGCAAACTAGATTCTCCGATTCTATATCCCAATCAAGCTTCAATCTTAACCTCACAGGGAACATCGCCTCTCTTCCTTGAAGCAATCCGAAATAACTATGTACTTGAGCCAGGTAAATCAGCAGCAAAATTATAAATGCTAAAATAAAAAGGATACATGATGAAAAATTGTTTAATAAAACTTTTAACAAGTATAGAGATACTAGCATATTTCCAGCATTAAATATACCCATTTGATTCTGTAATAAATATTAAAGAAAAAAATGAATAAACTCTTTTAGGACATCTTAAAAATAATTTTTTGTCATAATTTTTAAGAAAAGCATGAATGAGGACGATTGAAAAGCTTCCATTGTTTGAGCTCTTTTTTAAGATGAAGATTGGATTTATCAGTAATGTCAATCAGTGAATCACCAAGTATGCTACTATTTGTCAACCATTGCAAACAAAAATAATCCATGGTGACAGTGCCATCATATTCATCGAAACTTCATGAACTTGTAGTGAGTGACGAAAATTGTACAGTCCCATAGTCCTTTTAAAAGAAAAGGAATTGGCACTATTTAGTAGAAAAAAAAAAAAAACTACGCGAATACAAGGCACGAGAGGAAAAAACAAGACACAAAAGCAAAACAAAGAAATGAGACACAAAAAGAAACAAAGGAAGGAAAAATAAAGCAAGAAGAGTGAATCAAAGCAAGAATGAACAGACCATTTCTAATTAAGGAGAAAAACAAAAAAAATGCCTGAGTAAAATATTTACAACGATTGTCGAACAATGAACTGAGAGAAGCAAGAAAAAAACATCTCAAAAAAAAGTGGGAAACCGGCATCCTGAAACAGAGAAAAGCAATACGAATATAGATAGGCAAAAAATGTGACATTTTGCTAAAAATAAATACGGAATAAAAAAATTTATATACACATATATTTCTCCAACCAATATAAAGAGTAAAAAAGCAACGAAAATAGAAATCAGTGTCGTATTGAAACAGACGGGTCTCAGTTTGCAATTTTTGATCATCGACCTAAAATAGCCTCTGATAATGCTTCACCTAGAGTTGACTTCAGGCCATTCTTCGATAGCAGAATAAGTCGACCTACGGACATATAATGTCTATAGAAAACTTGGATCTTTAGTCTTAAAATTAGGTTTTGATTCGAGAATAAACCAAGTAATTCTTACATTACGATTACAGGAAAATAACACTATAAGCAATAACAGTGCTATGATCTGCAAAACTGCTTTGTCATCCAAAATTTTTTGCAACAAACGTTGACAATGTTCGTGAAGGCCAAATGTATTTCTTCATAAATCTAATTTAAGTTCCTCAGTGTACTTTTGTAATAAAAATAATTTAAAATAACAAAATTTTGTAATAAAAACAAATAATAGTTCCTTTTGCAATAAAATAGTAAAAGTAACCGTTACATATATACTAAATATACGATAGTGAGTAATGAGAGCTGAAATCAACTCTTGTCTTGAATTAGAAACTTTCCCGCAGAACTAAGTGGGCTGGAAAATTTCTATACAAAGTTTAACTTCAAGAAAATACCTCCTGCTCTGTAACAAAAACAAATAGTTTTTTTTTTGCAGTGAAATAGTAGTAAAAGCAACCGTTATATATATGCTAAATATATGATAGTGAGTAATCAAAAAATAAAGAGGGTTTCAACTGAAACACTAACCACTGCTGGAGATAAACTTATTTTGTCGGTGCCATTGGATCAGCTGGAGCTTCATCGCTATGTACAGAATCGGTTGTAGAATCATTTCTGTTCGTGGAAGATTCCATGAGCGGTGTCTCCTCAATAACTGCTAATGATGATGGCAATTTTCGGTCAGCATTTTTTTCTCGTACCATGAAGTTTTCTTCCATGTGTCGAACAATCAAACGTAGCGCCTCAACATGATCCTCCATTTCCTGAAATTTAAGTGGAAAGTTAACTCAAACATAGATGATTCAAAAAATTAAGCAAACTTGAAGAAACTCTGCAAATATAGCTGAATTCTGAGCGGAAAATTACATTTAAAACTCCATCCAGTGAATCCATATGTTTCGGACTAATTACTGTAAAAGGAAACGCGAGCGCCCAACAAGCACTGACAAGTGACGAAGCACGAGCTTCCAACAAACGTACGTCTACCTGGAAGTTATATCCGTTAAATTATCCAAAATTTTTAGTTTTTAGTTATATAAGTTAATTTTAGTTATCTGCAGAAGCAAAATCTCATACAGTTATATATTTCTTACAAAATGAACTCTCTAGTTAATTTACCATAAAGTTTGATGGGGGATTAGTTATGATTATGACAAGACAAATATAATTAGGATATTAATTGTGTATAACTATTTTATTGATAAAAGCTTATTGATAAAAAAGAAACTTTGTTTCTTTCCCATACTGCCCCATTTTTGCTCCCATCTATTCCGGATGTCCTTTAACTTGAAAAAAAAATCGAATTAAAGGAAATGAACTGCACTTGGCCAGCAGCCACTGTTCGTATCAAATCATCGAAACGAGGCATAATTCGTGCAGTAGCTGTAACAACTTGCTCATTGAGTTTTGGTGCAATTGAATTAAGCTGAATTACAGAGAGTTTTTCAGTTAAAGCATGGCACAGTTTCAAAACTACAACGCAATGCTGCAGCATTCCGGAAACATCATAAATCCACTGATTGTTATCAAGAATTTGGGCTGAAAAAATGCAAATGATGTTTGAGTTAAAAAAGGTTCGCAATCAACATTTTAAACAACAGAAAATCCAAAACCTAATTCGAATCTCAGTGATAAGTATAATCGAACATGAACTTGATCTGCTTCAGGAAGTTATAACAAGTAATGCAAAACTTCGTTCGACTAAATACCTTACCTGTTTGCCTATGAAACTTTGTGTTTGGCAAGCGTACATCTTTCCTTTGTTCTTCTCGAAACAATTAAATTTTCCCATTCATTTCTAACTTTCTAGCAACTTAATAATTTCAAAAACAATCTTTAAACAGCTTTAAGCAATTTTTAACAATTTTAATTTTCATAATGACTTCTAAAAAAACTTGACATATTAACTTCTCCCTCATCGAAGTAAAAAAAATTATTTTTCCCTTCTACTTTATTTCAGTAGTCTTAAATTTCCTGCATACAATTATATAACTATACAAGTCAGTCATAAAATCTGACCCGTACGGCTCACCAGGAACTGGATAGGTCAGCACTGGCGAAACACAACGGACAAAATGTCCCAAAATCACTAAGTTAAGGAACCTTACCTTAACCTCCAAAGACAATAGAGTCGGAATCATAGATATAATTTCTAACCAGTGTATGGCAAATATAGCGAATAAGCCTAATACACTTCACTTGTGCCAATATTAACGGAATTTGGAATTAATTTACAAAAAAACATTTTTCTGTCGACTAATTGCATTTTTATATAGATTTCTATTTCGAATTATAAGTGTTGTATATGCCATAAATATTTAATTTGCTATGAGAAACCTAAAATCCATTCAATATATGAATAGCACTGAAAGACTCAAGAACAATTTTTTTGTTTTGAAATCTAATGTCCGGCTACTTTGGATTTTGTACGAAACTATAAAATTTGCAAATCATTTTTATACGGTCGTCTATCATATGGTTAACGTCAAAGAGTAGAAACTATATGGAAAAAATTTTTGCATATATAAGACCAAGTAGATGTTACCAATAAGAGGTCCAAGCTGCACCACGCTTTCTACATTTTCGTTATTAACTTTAGTAAAACGCAATGATGTCATCGCCGCACGCAAACGTCCTCTTGCCTGTGCACGTCGTCGACACATAATAATCAGTATGAATGATGAAAAACAAAACACAGAAGCCAACACAAACAGTGCCAAATAAACCACTACTTCCATTCTGAAATAAGAAAATCAAATAAAGTTTAAGGAAAATATTTTCCTGTCGATTAGTTATACTTTTGTGAATAAATTATTAGTGACATATGTGCGATAAATATTCAACTCGTTAATTACTTTCCGAAAACAAAGTTCGATGTTAATGTCATTTATTACTATAGTGATGGCTTAAAAAAATGCAAAAATAACTACAAGGATATAAATTTAAAGCAGATAAAAATGCTAGAAGTCCGAGTCTCTTTAAATGCCCATATAATGTTTTTATGAATGAAATACGTGCTATTTACCTGTTTATTTCATTTAGTGTATTGTGTACCAATTGCAGCTGACATCAAGTACCAAAATGTCCCGGATAAGCGAATTAATTTCACATATAGTGAACATGCATAAAACACTAAAGTGATATTCGAAAATGTCTACATTAATTCTACTAAATAATAGCTTTTTTCTGCTAATATTTATAAACCCTTATTTCTGACAAGCTGTAGCTTCTAAAATACTTCATAGAGAGAACTTATATAAAATAGTTGATAGCGAGAATTTATATTGAAAATAAAATCAAACTTGCATAACATTTCCATCTTACCGATTTTAGGTTGTTTTAGATAGACGAATTTCAAAATGATCTTCTGCAAATATTTGAAAACCTGTTTCCTGCTTCAAAAATCAGAAGATTACTGAACGAGTTGCTTCAAGTGGCTCAGTAGTGTGCCACTTAAAATTTACTGTAAAAAACACAATTTTTTAAAGGTCAAAGGTGTCGTGATTAGATGAAAATAGCGCAGTAAATTAGCCCACGCTTCGAGATGTATAAATAAATAAGCTACGGCACATTTTCGATTGGCTATCATCGACTGAAACGCATAATAAGGCTAATAAAAAGCAACGCTACTTGCCAAAGTTCAGAGCAAAAAAAAAAAGAAAATATAAATGCTACCGTCCCAACCGTTTCAAGCAAGCTATCACTGACTAAAACTATCCGCCTTTACGAGAATCAAAGCAGTACCTGAACAACATTTGAACTTTTGGAAAACGACATTAAAAAATCCATAAATTAACTATAAAAGTAGGAGAATAACATCTGTTTGCCTATCCGTATCTCTAGGTATATATTCATATATATATATATATATGAATATATTTGTAGACACCTTATACATGTATATCATGTTTTATGCAGAGAGTCAGCACCCGATCACCTGTCATTGGCAAAGAAAAGATGGTTGAGTAGGGGCAAGTGCGAGCAACTCCATCCTAACTACTACGACAATGGCGACGAGAGCAACCGCCTTCCTTCCACACAACCCTCCCGAACACATGTGCCATCCAACGACATCAAGGCTACATTTTTCAAGATACAATAAAAAGCACATAATTTTCTTTTTTATTTCTCAACATCAATTTCCCTCTGTTTTCTTTCCTCCTTACATTCCATTCCAAGGATACATTTTCAACTCTTTCATATCCTCCGACTATCCACCTGAACAGCAGCACTCGCTGGAATGAGTATATGATGCAATTACAATATTCCACAGGCAAACTTATCCATTAGGTAAGTCAAAGAAACATATACACCATTCAAACTGTTCCTTCTAACTTACCCACTGATTATGGCAATGAAATGCGTGAATTTTGAAAAACAACGACATCTCAGATAATGCACAAATGAATTAAAGACACTATTTCGAGTATTAGTGAGATTGAGGCATTGTAATTTTGAGAGCAAATAATCAATTGAAACAAACAGAGTTCATAAATGTCCTATGACGTTTCTTCATCAATATATCACTGAATGGGGCTTAAATTATGCATATGGAAGAGATTTTAAATTGGAATCAATCTCGACGCATACAAAAAGTCTATTTGAAGACAATTCTGGAATGAATTGATTGGAAGGCTTTTAGGGTCTAAATTAACAAACAGTGCTTCTTCAAAGGCATACTAATAGGCTATAAAGGTATAACACGCTAGCTACTTTTCTACCCCAAAATCAACAGCCCAATATTACCTTTCTTTTTCATATTTGCATTAACTACTAGATCACTCAATTGTTTTCACTGACGTTCAAATATGTAGTAAATTTTAAATGTGGAAGGCTAGGATAAACTAATTAATCTTAAAATTAGTTAACAGGGACCGTCCGACTTATTGAGTTCGGAAGTGGCACCTAAATCGAACGAGATGGACATAAGATTTTTTTTTCTCGCCCATCACATCCTTTTTTCATGTTTGTTAAGACCCTGTTAGAAAGTATTAACCAAATAAGATTACATTAAATCTCGAAGTGTAATAGTTTCAAAAAATATGTAATTAAAGAACCGGCAATTTCTTAAACTTGCAGTTAAGTAATAGGCAATTAAAGAACCTAAAGAATAAGCTTGGAAAAGTGAAAAAGTAAAAAGCGTGAAACACTTAGCGGGACTTATCTACCGTAATGATTCAATCACTGCTAATTCGAAACTTATCTTCTGAAGGAATAAATCATTTGAAAACAAAAGTGAATTAAAGTGCATATTACCAGCTTACCAACAGCTGGTTGGAAGAAATGTGTGATTGGCATCAATCTTGGAAAAGGTAACACAAATGCAATTACTTTTATCGATTATCGATATCGATTTTATCAAACCATCTTTTTTTTTCCTTCACTTTAATTTGCTATTGCTTGAAAATGCCTGGTAAATATTACGAAAGAAAAAATGTAAAAAAAAAAAAACATCAATTAAGGTTTTCTCATTTTACACCACTTGGTAAGAAACATAAAATATTTTAACTTTAACATTTCTTGCTCACGAAATAAGCATCTTCGAGAGAATATTTGATGTAACGCTTGAAAAACTAATTGATTTATTTAGTTAATAGTTTTTTTAATCCTATGCCATAATAATTTCCACTCAACTCTTGGAACATTTCTGTGAAAACAAGTTGCTGCAGTAAAATAGATTTCTTACTCTCATAGTTCTACTGTCTTTGATTCTATCGTTCATAAATGTTATAAAGAAACAGAATATCTTACTCTTTATACGAGAATAAAAGATGGTAAGCTAAAATACGAATTAAAAAAAAAAACAAAAAGTTGAACTAAAGTTTGAGACGATTAATGAAGGGACACGTTGGACTTTTTTCCCCACAAGCACAAGTAATAATGTAAATAAGGCGGAGTTTACTTTTCTTCCCTTTCTGCAAAAAGTGAGAAAAAAAATATGTAATTTATCCTCTACTTTTAAGATGAATCCCCTGTGCAAACAAAATAATCAAAAATTAAGGAAAGACAATTTGCATTAATGAATAAACTTCTCTTACACGGCATAACTACTCTGTTTTACCTTTCTCGAATTGTATTATTCTGTTGTATAATTGAAATTGAAATGAACTTTCCAATTTGAAGCTCTTTAAAAAAAAAATCAAATTTGAAAAAATATGTGTGAAATAAGATACAGAACCTACAAGTATAAGTGCTGCTATAATGTTAACGGTATACTGACGTCCCAGGGAAAAAAAAGTTTTGTTTTTCTTCGCCAAAATTTCTTCCAAATTTCACAGGAATTTACGATAATATATTTTAGGGTTTTGCCTAATACCTACAATATGCATTCTCAATAACCTATAAAAATTGTACTCCTCGATAGAAGGAATGAACTCTTTGGTATCAACAATCTAAAAATCAAAACCTGTTTTCGTCAAAAGAGACTAGATACTAACAGATAACGAGTGCGATGCAACGCTGTGGAAATCAGAAATTAAAATTTTTTAACAATTACTGACATAAAAGTATTTATTTTTAAAGATAAAACATGAACAGAACAATAAACAGCTGACGATATTTAAACTGATCCTATTCAAAATATTTTAGAGCATATGGAAACAGAAATTTACTAAAACAAAGCGTTAAGAATACTAGTGCAATAAGATACTTTGTGATGAAAAGTGATAATGCAATAAATACTAACAAATAAAAAAATACTGATAAACTAAGAATTATTAACATATGAAAGTTATGAATGTATAGGAAAAAAAACCAGGACAAAATTGCTGATTGCATGCATATTTTTTCCCTCGTTCTGTATCAACAAGTTCATAAGTGACCGTGTGTGATATTAAATATCGCATGCGGTCACTACTTGTATTCTTTTGAAAAAGAATTTAACAGTCAATTCAATGATATCAATATCTCTTAAAACATGCGGGAAAGAATCAATCAAAATAAGTTTCCAATGGCAAGAATGCACCATGTGGTATGTAATCTCGGAGATAAAATTGTGCTTCATTAAATATCATCGTCTTTTGGCACCTGAAAAAAATGTAAAAATAAATCATTAAATCTGGTTTAAGATTAGGATGAATCAAAATCAGTCTTATAACGTTATTTTTAAAAGTCTTAATTGAAAATTCTCCAATCCTATTAATTTTCCTCCTATCTTCGACCATAAAATTCGATGAATCACTGGGCAATTTCAAGTCATTATAAAACACATCAGTTAATGAATAATAAAAGGACTATTTATTCGAGCTAATTTTATTCGTAATCATAGTCTTATGCGATAAATTTTCTTACAATCGATAATTGTGGACCTTTGAAGAAAATCGCTAGTAAAGATTTAAAGATTTCTTTAAACGAGCTACTTTATCAACAGGAGATTTTAAAACTTTATGAAGCCTTAAACGGTGTGAATACAGATATGCTAAAATTAGAGGCAGTGACTTACGTGAAATTTAAAAATCGAATCAATTGGAAACCTTCTTATGAAGGCATCAATACTCAGTCAATCCTACTTGAAAAACGCTTAAAAATAGTACGTAAAACTGATGAAGTAGTTAGATAAACAAATCAAAAATATTAATTAATTGGAAGAAAAAGTGTAATGGTTCTGGAATTCAACAATCAATAAACAAGATCCCAAAGGATCTGATCTGATTAGCCCAGCACGATGCTGGAATAGTAAACATTGAATATTTTAAAGATTTCGAAACAAGCTGAAATAACTGCCACGTAGTGGCCAACGACGGCCATATAGCAGTCTAAACCGAACAATCAGATTTCAAACAACAAATGAATGAAATGCATACTTACAAAGAACAACACAATGAATTGCAGCCACCGGAAGGTGGGAATGTTGTTGAAGCATTGGCGTAATTTTTTGCTTTGAAATTGAAAGATATTGACCAAAGTCAACTAAAAACACATGATATTCGCCGTTAACATGGCTCACCATGTTTTTTTTTCAACCTAAAACGGCATCATAGAAGAAAGCACAATATGAAACTAACAAAATAATTGGAAATTGAAGAAGCCAACAACTGAAGACGGAACAATCAACCACTTCTTTTGATAACTATTGTAAAACCAATAAAAAACTTCAATTACAAAGTTCAAACCATATATAACCTTATCAGACAGTAAGGTGAATAATGTACTCTGACCATGAGTTCCTTAATTACAGTCACAATGATGTCTGAGATACAAATGAGCAATCAATGAAAAACGTGCTACATTAAGTAATCAGAAGTCTTGGAGAACTTGGACACTTTTTTTCGTTATAGCAGATTTTACTATTTTGAAAAACTGATCTTCCAATCGATAAGACAACAGTAATTTTGTTCACGTATATCTCGTTCCAATAAGCTATATTTCCTTTGTTCATTTACAAATACTATGTGAACGTCACTCTGTAAGTCAACCCATGTAATTTAAAACTTTAATAAACAGTTTTAAAGTAATTATGCACAAAAAAGACATATAATTAATGAAGCCTGTAAGATGCAAGAAAGAAGAAAAGGCAACTACTTCAAAACATAGAAGGCTCGTCATGTATTCAACGAACATGTGCTAACTTACTTTACACATATTGCTCCTTAAGTCCAAATAATCGTTTTATACATACTTCAACGTTTATCATATGTTTGTAAGATGGTGCTTTATGTGGCAAGAGATCATATTTTTTCTTATATATGATAGTGAAACGAAATTTTCAAAAAATTTCGGAAACTTCATCTCCAAAAAAAAAAAATGAACACCTTCGAATTGTACTCCGTATCCCGGAGACTGGAGATTCCAAAGAGTTGAAATCCCATGCTGTTCGAACCTCGGCATTGTAAAAAAAACTTGAAAATTTGAAACTTTATTAGAAAGGTCAGAAGATATGCAACGACAAGTTTGAATGGAATTTGATCGAAATCTTTATAAATCCTAGATCTGGTTTTATTCTGACATCTCTTGATGGAAGCCGTGATTATTTCGTGTATTGTTAACTGGAACCAATTTTATATGAAATATTGTAAAAAATTATAGAACTATTTGCTGATGACATATAAATTTATGAATGTTTTCAAAAATGTAATTTCTGTACTTTCCGGGGTTTAAAGTCTGATTAAACTTCCTGCAGTGCATTTATAAGGATGTATTTACAGCATTGTATGATCTTTTAATTACTGAGTATTACAGATCTCTGAGAAAATTTCTAACCTGTTCTAATTTTCTATTCTGACTCTTACTCATTATCTGAAGTGTCATAGAAAAGATCAGGTACTGATGGTACAACTCTGTAAAATTAATAAAGCTTTATAACCAATTTTGAACAAGACCGAAAGACAGAAAATAAACGAGTTTGATAATGGATGACAATGAAGTGATGAACTGATATTAAAGCATGTATGCCAATTAGGTCGAAAAAAGGATTTTTTTTTTATTTTCTATCTTTTTACTTTTTTGCTATTTTTTGCTATTTAAACACAGAGAAATTTAGTAAATTCACGAAACAAAAGCAGGACTGGGAAGAACAGTTCTAACTGAAATTCGGGGATCAAATGAAGAATTCTTTTCCTGCAGAGTAAATTATTATCTGTTACTAAGCACTTCATGATTTCCTGGGAATTTCAAAGCGCTCCCAAAAAGTCTACGACACTTTTCATTTCACAAATCCATTTATTAAATTTCACATATAGCAAACGTAAAATTTAACAAAACTGCTAATTCCAACAAAATATACCTGAAATCAGCAACGCTCGTGATACTTTTTTTCTTTGAGTTTTCTGCAATAACTTTGGTTAAGCATAAAGTTTTTGGAAATAACTTTTGTTTGAGTATAGCAACTAGTTTTTTCATCAGTTTTTCTGGTTCTAAGCGCCAAAAATCTATCAGTTATGATACAATCAAGAATATTGCACAATTGCTTTTTGGAAGAAATTTAAATGCCAATGTAAAAATGTCTCTAGTTTATTCATAAATTAAGCCACTGATGACTACTTACTTCTCTTATGTAAACCTGCAAAAAATTATGGGAGATGAAGCTGGCTGATTTTATCACCGGAATTTCAATCTCACCTGATGCTGCCATATTTGAATAGACTGTTAAATTGTGCTCCTTTTTTCGCCTGAAATTCATAACAGGTAACCAATGAACAATTCACATTACATCTACTAAGATCAAATATCTTCGTCTACTTCCGTTCAATCTACCAGAGGTAAAATTATATACAGTTATATCATTCCAATTTTTCTATCCCAAATTTTTATATCTTCATTGGAACAAGCAGAAATATGGAAGTCTTTCCTTACAAGATCTGACTTGGTGCAGAAAACTTGATTAAGAATCCTTCTTATTTGCAATATCTGAGTACATCCGAAGCTTCGAAAGTAAGTTAACACTCGCAAATGTTACCAAAGCCACGAAGTCAAAACTGCCAATATTTACTGTAACCAGTGAGCGATTAAATGGAATGCTCTGATGGCTGACGGAGTCAGCTATTCAGAAAAACTCGTAATGTATAACAATGTCAGAGGTGCGACTATGGGAATTGGTTGGACGGAATCACTAGATAATTTGAAGGATAGGAAATTCACCAGTGTTGCTTCCAGAAATTATGAAAGTTTTGGATGATCTCCATCACTTAAATTTCCATCATTGTCGTGAATCCTGCAGTGTTCATCATTTATTGCCCAACATATGAAAACCGCATAATCGTCATTTACCAAGATATACTATTCTGCAATATTTCTGCACTCTATCAATTCAAACAATAAAAAAGTGTTCCAGTTCGCCTTGCTCTGCTAGGTTGGATGGTATTTAAATTACTTTGCCACTGCTTCCAACTTGAACACTAATAATTTCGTTAAAATATGCTTAAATCAAACGACATGGTTGGAACGCAAAATTGATTCCAAATTCAAGAAGAGATAAATATTCTAACTAACCGATTACCACTACCAAAACTATCGCTATAATGACGCTAACAAAACTAAACAGTTCTTCTGAATAAAGGGAACGTTTTTATCTTAAAATTTAGCAGAGTCAAAATAATCCAGTTTACTGATATAAATTGGCACAAAATTATCGATCTTCTATTATTGCTAAACTTATCGCCGAGTTCAAAAAGAGAAGAAATAAGAATTCTACTTTCCCATCTATCTAAAATATTCAACTTCCTTAAAATGATAGGAAACATCGGATCTTATTTAAAAATTTGGGGAGCACTTGAAATTCCTTAATCCCATAATTCTACCCCCATAAAAACTGCATTGAACAATATACTTTTGGTTAATGCGAGAAATTTTCGTGAATGATCGATATAGATATTGATTATTTGGGCTTTTAATGGTATGTTGGGTGGATTTTCACGTTGCCTGTGCTGTTGATTCACTCGATGGAATTTGTGGTTAATTTTCAACTAAATGAAATGATTTTTCATTGTTTTTGAATCCATTTGAATTCACATAAAAAGTATTATGACTGCGGTTATCAGGAATGGAAATGATTATACTCGAGGAAAAGTAAATCCAAATGATTCCAAAAGCAAGTTAAAAAGAATTTCAGCAGGAAACAATCACAAAACCACCATAATAAAATAAATCGGCAGCTATATATATATATATATATATATATATATATATA